CCCAATCAGGGACACCCATTCCAAGAGCCACAGTCGCACCCCTGTCCCTAACAAAGCCCCGTCTCAGAGTCCCCTCGCCCATTCTCTCCCCCTTGAACCCTCAGAACTTTGCAGTCCAGAAGGGCTCCCCGTTTTGGGCCTCAATGCCAGTCTCGCCTACTGGCAGGCCTGGCTCTTACACAGAGCAGAGTGACCCGTTGAGTCGCAACCAGTGTCAGACTCGCAGGCACTCCACCCACAGTAAGGAGTTGGACCACATCAGTACTTGCTCCTCCACCAGTGAGCAGTCCCTGCATTCCACTCACAGCAATGGGGTAAGAGCCCAACTCTAGCTCCTGGCTTCAGTGAGGCCTAGTCCTGCTTCACCTCCACCTCCGGCTTCATACTAACCCGCTGGGGTATATGTGCGTTGACCTGGAACTAAAAGAGGATTCTCACATGCTTTTGTGGATATTAACTGGCCTGGTTTGACTGTGCTGCTGAGCAACTAACAATGTACACCGTTAACCAGGATAACTCCTTGAGAGTTTCTCAGAAACTCTGTACATCCGTTGACTATTTCTGCTGATTCTATCTGCTCTGAACTGGCAGGATGTTCTTTCTCTAACCGCCTGAGAAGACCTAATATGCAAGCATTGGGAGCACATAAACCACAGCCAACTAACAATTACTAACTCTTTTTCTTTTTAACCTGCTTACAGATTTAAAAAATGATTTTTGGGATAATCCATTTAAAAATATATTGTGGGGTGTTAAAGGCTCCATTAAATCCTGTGCTGATTTGTTTACTATTGAAAAGGATGCTGGAGTGAGACATATCAAGGGGCTTTTCCTTTTTTTAACATAGCAAATAGGCTTTATTTGCATCAGAAGAAAGTCTGAAGCATAGGAGTATTAGGGGAAAGTATATTCTCATTCTAGAGAGCATTTTATTGGACGAAACACTTGGGTACACACATGAGTGCATCAGTATATTGTGTCTGTTTCCTGGAAGAGAAAGATTGTACATTGTCAACTTTCAGCAGTCCACTAGCACAGTGTTTCTCAACCAGGGGTCCGTGGACCCCTAGTGGTCCTTGACATAAGGCCAGGGGGTCCGTATAACGTATAAATTTTTGTATAAATTTTGTATATTTTGACATGACATGTTCCCATGAAAGAAAAATCCAATATAGCTGATGATATGGCCAAATACTGGACAAGTCAGCTAACTTGAATTATACTTGACTGCATTTGGTCCTCACAAAGACACAATGATACGAGTCAATTTTGTTCTGGGGGTCCTTGAGGATGGTTCTGAATTGGACTGGGGTCCGGTACGCCAAAAGGTTGAGATTCACTGCACTAGCATATAGATGGTTTTGAAGAAGTTAAAAGACCACAAAACTCCAATGTTGATTTCATGGGGTGTTAGATTTCCTCTTTTAACCAACAGTCTTAAGGGGTAATCACACTGAAAGCAATTTGCAGCAACAGAGGCCAGAAGTCATTTATTTTTAATGAGAGTAAGCGATTAGAAGCAACAAGAGCAATAGAGACTGTTGATGATGTGACAAAGTTCAGCATGCTGTGGTGACTGTCAGTGGGAACATAGACATTTGAGCTCATCCACCTCATGATATACTTAACCAACAGTACAGTGTCCGGACAACCATCAGCAATTTAACTGGGAACTGTCAGTGTGAACGACTGTTTAGTGTAACTCGGAAGAGGATCTTGTAAGCTAAAACAACTTTCTAATGTAAATCTTTTCCTAGAACTGCTCTCGCATGCTTTATTCTTGCTCTCTGACCAGCTGACTAAATGTCTTCAACATTCTTCGTATGCAAACATTCTTAATCAAATTAAAAATAATATAAATAATATAAAAGTTGCTACTCTGATGTTTTGCTGTGTTTCTGCTTCTAGAGTGAAAGCAGCAGCAGCAGCAGTGTGTCAACCATGTTGGTGACCCAGGACTACGTGGCTCTAAAAGAAGATGAGATCAGCGTGTATCAAGGAGAGGTTGTACAGATATTGGCCTCTAACCAGCAAAACATGTTTCTAGTTTTCCGTGCCGCCACAGAACAAGGCCCAGCAGCCGAGGGCTGGATCCCCGGCTACGTTCTGGGTCACACCTCCACCGTCATTCCCGACTACCCTGATGGAACCCTCAAGTGAGGATTGGTTATTAATTCTTATTGATTATAGACTGACTGTTTAGTTACTTCTAGAGTAAGAAGCAAATTATTTAAAATTATTTGTATAAATTATATTTATTATATTATATTATATTATGACAATGGGTCCTGCAACAACATAGCCTCAAAACCCATTATCCCTCTATAATATATTTAAAAGTTTAAAATATAAAAATCTTATAAAATATTAAAATAAATCTTTAAATATATTTCAAAATATACAAAAATGTCCAAAAAATGTATTTGCTAAAATATGCTTTAAAATATATTTACATAAATATATGTTCTACCAATATATTTTTGGCCATTTTTGTGTTTTTTTTTATATATATTTTACAAACATAAATATATTTAAGAAAAAAACACAGAGAAAAGTACATTTTGCTTTATATAGTTCAATCCAAGAAAACACATTCATGTCACATTTGAAGAAAAACTTTATTTGTAGTCTATAACACATATGCACATATAACACATTTGAATAAAATTCAATTATTAAATAAGCTTATAATATAACAATATAATTATTGGGAAGTCGTGGCCTAATGGTTAGAGAGTCGGACTCGTAACCCAAGGTTGCGGGTTCGAGTCTCGGACCGGCAGGGATTGTAGGTGGGGGGAGTGAATGTACAGCGCTCGCCAACACTTTTTCACACCACTGTATACAAAAATATCCAAAAAATATATTTTCTAAAATATGCTTTAAAATATATTTGCATAAGTATATGTTCTACCAATATATTTTTGGCCATTTTTGTGTATTTTTTTAAATATATTTTACAAACATAAATATATTTAAGAAAAAAAAACATTTTGCTTTATATAGTTCAATCCAAGAAAACACATTCATGTCACATTTGAATAAACTTCAATTATTAAATAAGCTTATAATATAACAATATAATTAATAATAATAATATAAATAGTCTTATAAAATAGGCATTACTAAATTATTATTCATGTAATTTTGATCTATTCCATACACATTTGCATTTACCCTAAATGTAGGCTACTGCACGACCTTTTTACTTTACTTTACTTTACTTTTAGTCATTTAGCAGACGCTTTTATCCAAAGCGACTTACAAATAAGAAAAAGTAATTAAAACTAAAAGCTAAAACTCTATAAATACTATATACCTGCACGGTAGAGTCGATGGTCTTTACACTCTTCGGTCTTCACACGACCGCTTCCGCGGTAAACTAAGCTTCTTTTTTTTTATTCGTTTAACAAAACTCAAATTGAATTCAGCTGGACACACTTTCCTGTTTATTACAACAAATGGCCAAGCAAAGCGCACGACACTGACAAGGTACGCGCTACAGTACGAGACCAAACACTTTTTGACCCTAAAATACATTTTGAAATATATTTTAGTATATGAGGGTTGAAACTTAATATATTTTCTATTTCAAAAATATATTTCATATTTCAGCTTCACTGTTAACAACATATATTTGGCATATATTTCAAATATATTTTAGTCACAGACAAATTTTTTTTCCATATGGGAATTGATTTGTCAAAATGAGATTTGTATTAAGAAGGTGTTTTAAGTATGTAAGTAAGTTCATTTAGAGTTTATGTTGACCTTAAATTTAGGTTGTAAGTGTGAAAGTGTCCGCTTATGACTTATTTAGAAGACACCACCGTTTTGTAAAATGATAGTGACTTCTTGTTTGTTGTCTAACATTCATAGTCTAGCCGTGAATTGAATCTCTTAAAACAGTGCTATATTTGTCATTCAGGAAGTCCTCATCGTGGCACACAGCTCTACGCATCAGACGAAAGTCCGAAAGGAGAGACAAAGAGGGCAGGAAAGAGAGCAAATCCGAGAATGGCTATCGCAAGTCTCGAGATGGATCAGCCAATAAGGTTTCTGTAAAGGTACTACCTTAACAGTCTAATGATTCATTTTATAATCATTACTCATTATGCAATTTCATAGTTATGACGATTTCTACATATGAACATTCAACATTACATTATTGCTTATTTAATTTTTGCAGCTTTTGAATCCCAACTACATTTATGATGGTAAGTTAGAATATTGTTCTTTCATTCTTGGAAATCTCTTTGCATATATAAAATTGTTCATGTGTCATAATGAAACAGACAAATGACTGTAAGTTTCTGATTTGCTGGCAGCAGTTCCCCCAGAGTTCGTGGTCCCCCTGAGTGAGGTGGTGTGCGACAGGGGCGACAGTGTTACCCTCCGCTGTAAGATCTGTGGGCAGCCCAAAGCCTCGGTCTGTTGGAGAGGGCCTGACCAGAGCACTCTCAGCAATGGTGGACGATACACACTCACACACAGGTAAAACCAGTACACTGACATCCTTTTATATGCCATGCATCTATACAGACTGCAGGGGGCACTTTTACTTTATGGTTTCCGATCCAGTTTATTGCGTAGGATGTACAGTCATTTTGCTAGTTTCATAACTGTTTACTAAAAGAAACATTTTCCATGCCTAAATATTTCTGTGAAATTGCCTTCATTGTTGTTCATTGACTGCATTTGGTCAAATGTGGCTATATGAACAAACAAATTAATTCAGTTTTACCGTTTGTCATTGCTATCCGTTTGACGAACTTAATCTCTCATTTTTGCACAATATCTGATTTCCAATTATCTAATTACGTTTTTGAATTGTAAAAATGAATTGCTAAACAAGGAAGAAAAAAAATGGCACACCATAACTCCAAAAGGAGAAAAATATTAATGCCATTTTCTCACCAAACGTACTGTTTTTACCAGGTGGCTATTGATCCACATGGCTCAAAACGTTACTTTTGGTGAGAAAGTATAAATGTTTTAGGTAACATTTTATTTTAGTGACCTTGTTACACATGTTACATGTACTTACTATTATAATAACAATACATTATGCATAATTACATGCAAGTAACCCTAATCCTAACCCTAACCATATAGTGAGTACATGTAGTTAATTAATATTACTCAGTACTTAGATGTATAATTACACTGTAACAAGGACACCTTAAAATAAAGTGTAACTATGTTTGTTTTATGGGTTTTTGGAGTTATGGTGTGCCAACTTTTTCTTTCTTGTTTGTTCTTTTTTCTGGTTGAGCACCCTCATCGTGCTTTTTCTTTTTCACCTGCTGGATGTGCATACTTTCTGTTACATTTTTGCTGAAAATTTAAATGCTGTAACAATTTAAGTAAATAATCTAAATTCTTTCATTAAAAGACTTATTGGTTAAAAAAATATATAGCATAGTGTAAACAAAAGTTGTACAAATGTAAAACAAATATATGAGGTAAAAATCTAAAAATACAAATATTTAGCAAAAATGAAGTAAAACATACGTTTACAGGATACATTTATGTTAGCTAGTTATTTTCACAAAATAAACCCTGACAGGCACCTTGTATTTTCCACAAGGGGTTTATTTTCTGGTAATAACTAGCTGCTTGTACATTATGTTGCTTATTACATGATTACCAAATAAATTAATAAATGTACATTAAATATTGATGCAAGTTAAAATTTCATTTTAATTAATTTAATTATTTTATTCTGTAAAAACCATTTAACTTGCTTCTGAGATCAAATTGGCTTGGTATAACAGTCAATATATAGTTTAGCAGTCATTATACAACACTATTTGACAATTTCAGTATATTCTAGACTAAGAGAACACGTTTTTAATAGACTATGTTGTACATTTTTGTTTTTATACGTAACAATTTCTACATTTTGCAACCTAATCGTTTAATGTTTTGTTCAGTGAGACAGGGGAAGTGACCCTCCGTATCTCACCTGCCTCTCTGGACGACAGCGGCACCTACACCTGCATCGCCTCTAATGACGTGGGCTCAGTGACAACATCAGCCTACCTCAGGGTGCTTGGTCAGTTGATTTTCAGTTAACACTGCTTAAAACAAAAAGATTTAATAGTAGTTGATTCACCGATGTTTCTGTTTTTGTAGGCACTTCCTGTGACGGCATCCTCTGGAAGGATAACTTTGAGTCCCTCTACACTGAAGTCATGGAACTGGGGAGGTATTGTACAAAAGAAATGTTCTGACATACTGAATTAATCAAATAAAACGTACTCATCTATCTCTATACACACAGCTAACATTCTAAAGCAGCTAATGTTTGTTTTCTGTCTGTAGAGGCAGGTTTGCAGTCACTAAGTGGTGTGAGCAAAGAGGAAGCAGGCGATCAGTGGCCGCTAAGCTAGTAAATAAGAAGCTAATGCGTCGAGAGCAGGTGGTTCAAGAGCTGGGTGTCCTACAGTGTCTTCAGCATCCTCACCTAGTGGGCCTGCTGGACACCTACGAGACCCCAGCCAGTTACGTTCTCATCCTGGAGATGTACGTGGACTTCTCTGCTTTATCTGTAACAGTATAGTCTTGCTCATAATGGCAATGCTAATGATAATGATTTTGTTTTAACACGTTTTCTCTTTTTTTTGCACATCAGCGCTGATCAAGGACGTCTCCTGGACTATATTGTTAGCTGGGGGAACCTGACAGAAGAAAAGGTGTCTCTTTACCTGCGGGATATTCTAGAAGCTTTACACTACCTTCACACATGCAGGATTGCTCATCTTGACTTGAAGGTGAGCCTTTCCCTAGAATTATTCTTAATAAACGAGTAGATCATTTGTGGAAGTAAGATACCCAGATGGCACGCATATGTAATCATACGTCTTGACCGGTGGTTCTCAACTAGTGAACCTGGACCTACTAGTCGGCCTCAGCACATTTCCGAAAGAGGCACAAGATGGCTTAACATGATCTCATTTAAGACAAAACAAGCTATAGAATACACTGAAAAAAGTAGTCGCATATACTTTGTACCAATTTACACTCAAAAATTGCTCGGAAATAACATGAAATTTTACAGAGAATGACTGAAGTAGTGTTTTCTTGTATTTACAACTTAAAACGTTTTAGACAGTGTAAACAAATACACCTAAAAATCAAGAAAAATTTCTTATTTTAATGTGTTCACTCAACAACTGTCAAATTTATTTAAAGGGGTCATATGATGCGATTTCAAGTTTTCCTTTCTCTTTGGAGTGTTACAAGCTGATTGTGCATAGATAAGATCCCTGAAGTTGCAAAGACTAAAGTCTCAAAACCAAAGAGATATTCTTTATCAAAGTTAAGACTCTGCCACGCCCCCCTAAAACGGCTCGTTCTAACACGCCCCCACATATCTACCTCACTATGTGGAAATATTTGCATAATGCGGCCCAAATGTTCACGCAAAGAAAGAAGGCGTGGTTTCAGTAACCGCAGTTAGTGTTGAAGCAGCATGTCAGGGAGACGCTGTGTGTTTCTAGGCGAAAGCAAAAGCACTTTATTTGGCCTTCCGAAAGTAGATGCATTTAGGAATCTTTAAGATCACTTACAACAGAACAGCAATGCATTTTATGGAGATAAAAGCGTCTGCTAAATGACTAAATGTAAATGTAAATGTAGTCTTGGAGAAACCATGGAAATGTCTATGAATTGAGCTCTCAAATATTGTATCAGGTATCGATTTCTGAGAAATTGCTATTTGTAAATTAAAAGCCTTGCCCTGTACGATTGGAAATGTAATGTAAATTCATTAGTCAAAAAGTGTTAAGAAAATGTATTTCCTGAAATGTCAGGTCAGGTCTTGAATTTAGTTTTTTACATTTTAAATACTAATTATTTTACGTTTACATTTATTCATTTAGCAGACACTTTTATCCAAATGAGCAATACAAGTGATTCATCTAAAGAAGATGAGAAGTGCATCTAACAATACAAAGTTTGATACATTGTCTAGAATAGTACAGACTAGAACAGGGAAGGATTTAAGAGTTGTTTTTTAAGAGTAAGCCGAATGCAGTAAAGTTCTTATGTAACTCAAAACAAAAGAGAAACGCCGATGGCTCAAATTGAAACTGCTGCAGGACAGCTCGGATCTTAAGTGCAAAAAATATATATATATATCACTTTTTTATAAAAATATAAATAATTGATCCTGGTGACAGCTATCTTTTTAAATATAAACAGTAACACAACTAAATCCTTCTCAGTAGAAACTATTATTCTAAACAATAGAAACAGGGTATTAAGCAAATAGGAATGTAAGAGTTTAATATAAGATCAAATGACTAACAATACGATGTATCAAAACAACACATAAAAAAATCGAAATATATACGCAATATCACTCTCTCGTACTCGAGCGATACCGGCTCTATACCAGCATGGCTTTGATTAGGCCAGAGGCACGAGGCAATCACAGCCGCTGATATAGAGCCGGTATCGCTCGAGTACGAGAGAGTGATATTGCGTTTATACAACAGTTCGACGGAACGTGTGTGTAATTAAACAAGAAACAACGGAGTGCCTAATAAAACCATCTTTTGTGCGGAACTACTTCCTTCCGCCACGGATTCAAAGCTCAAGTTGACAGTTAAACATACGTCACTTTTAGAATTCGTATCAAGGGCATGTGCTGCTTCAGTTAGGTTATTAGTGAGAAATAATGAGGTTATAAGGGAGAAACAATGCGGCAAGACGTGCATCCAAATGAGAGAGAGAGAGACCACGAAGCTAGACGTTTCTTCTTATATTAACTAACGTACTCTCAGTGTTGCCAACTAATTTTTAGGGGAAGTTGCTAAATGAAGGTCAATTTGTTGCTAAAAGTTGCTAAATCACATTGTGATGTCATTGCGTGATGATGTCATTACGTAATCACGACACAAAATTGTGTCACTACATCAAATCTCAGCAAAAAATATATATTTTATATATGTTAATTTAGATTTGTTTGTAAAATCATATAAATGCATAATATAATATTCAAATATAAATAAATATTTAAAATACACCATTGAATTATTGAAAACTTTCACATTTTTGAACGATTACAATTTAAGTTTTTGTTTTTATTAGCTAGTAAACTAGAAAAACTACACATTCTGAACAATTATACTTTTAAGCAGTGTATTAGTAGTCTAAGAAAAGTCTGTAAAAATAGGGCACAATCTACAATGTTAATATGAAGGAATTTTCCGTATTGATTTTTCACAGGGGTTTTTTTTTTTTACCTGCATTTTAAATTACGCATTGTATTTTGTGTTTTTGGGTTACAACGGATAATGTCCTGGGATTGTGAATTACTATACCTTTTCCATTTGTACATATTTTTCTTACAGTGTATTAACTGATCAACAAAGCAGGTACAAGCTACTAACATTGTGCATCATAAATGAAAAATTATTCAATTAAATTGAACAGTTGCAAATAGCAATTAGAATTTAATTCATGTGATGTGTGTACTTCTAGGCATCTTTGGTTTCCTCTTTTTGTGTAATTTAGATGTAAAACGTGTGCTTTTTATCATTTGAGTCACTTAACCCAAGTTGCTAAAAGTTGACAAATAAATTTAAAAAATAGCTAAATTTGTTGCTAGGTGCTTTTGGAAGAAAAAGTTGCTAGGGTAGTCTGAAAAGTTGCTAAATTTAGCAACAAAATGCTAAGTTGGCAACACTGCGTACTCTACGATTAGCTCAGTGAGAAATAAAAAAAAAACATAGACCCGGCTAGAACAAGCGGAGTGATACAAAATTGTGAAAGGGCGTTCCTGTAACGATACCAGTACAATATCTCACGGTTCTCAACCAATCAGATTTGAGAACCAGAACGAACTGTTGTATAAAACTAATATATCAATAAGCTATACTAGAATACTAGCTTGACTTATAAAAACAGGTCAGATTTTTATATTATTATTATTTAATATATGGAGTACCTCATTTTGTTTTGTCCTAATGGGCTTTGGAGTCAAAAAGGTTGAGATCCACTGATTTCGATGTCATATTTAGAATATAATATGCTGAGATGAATACAATTATGCTGAGATGTCTCTATGGGGTGTTAGATTTACAGCATTCTGTAAATGTATAATATTTCGAATATATGTAAATATATTTTCGTGTTTATCAGACGTTTGTAAATAAGACTGAGTGAAGTAAGAGATTACATCAGTCTGAAGTCAAGTGTGCTATTTAATTTCTCTTTTTACATTTTGAACCTGTCATGTGTTTGCTATCCCATACTTATCTCCGTTTTGTGTCTTTCAGCCCGAGAATGTATTAATCGTGCAAACGTCAACCCAGCCTCTAGTCAAACTGACGGACTTTGGTGATGCGGCACATCTCTCCAGCACCCCGTACATCCAGCCTCTGCTGGGCAGCCCAGAGTTCTCCGCCCCTGAGCTGGTGCTGGGTGAGCCCGCGGCTCTGGCGTCTGACCTCTGGAGTCTAGGCGTGCTGGCCTACGTGATGCTCAGCGGGGCGTCCCCTTTCCTGGACGAGAGCGTCGAGGAGACCTGCCTCAACATCTGCCGCCTCGACTTCAGCTTCCCGGAGGACTACTTCCGCGGCGTGAGTCCGGCGGCGCGGGACTTGGTATGCGTCCTACTCCAAGGCGAGCCGTGCAGACGTCCCTCTGCGCAGGTTTGCCTGCGTGAGCAGCCATGGCTGCAGCCCAACGCAGCCTCTGGAGCAGCTCGCCTCAACACTTCCAGACTCATCTCTTTTATAGAGCGGAGGAAACATCAGAACGACCTGCGACCCGTGGCCAGTTTCCGAGCATTCCTGCGTAGTCGCCTGCTTAGCCAGAGCTGAGAGAAACGTCGAGTGCAAATCTTGTTCTCCTGCAGTTCTGAGTAGGATATTAAGGAAAGTATAGGTTGCTGATATATGCTGAAATCTCATCCTGCTTTTAGAGTCATTCTGAAACGGTTCTGGGTCTCTGTTACTGTAACTGCTGCTGACAAAACTCTGAAGTCCCCTTTTCCAACCCTTCAAAAATCATTTCTGCTACATGTACATGTTCTCTCTTTGTATGGACAAAGCTTACAAGAAAAAAAAAAGTGAATTAAGAAGGTCCTTTTGAAGGTTTTTCCCTGAGCCAGAAAGGTTTAGCCTCATGTTCGGACAGTATTTCAATCAGGTTGTTTCAGTGGAGTACTGTAATTTGAATAGCTACATTCAGGAATGATTACATTTTGTACAAACCATGTATAGAAGCACAGAAAAGATGATATCTTTGTCCTGAACGTTTTGGAGAGAGAAAAAAAAAAGCTTATTTAAAGATTTAAAGGGAAGCATTCATCTCAAGTTCTATGTTTGATAAACATACAGTCAGTCATATTGGAAATCGATCATAACAAATGAAACGACTTTTAATAGCTGCAACTCTTTCGGACGAGAAGTAAAAGATAAACTTTTGATTTCAACTCACATCTGTCTATCAGCCTTATGTTGTAAATAAACTGGACCTGCCTTCAATCATGTTAATTTGCAGTGTTTGAAATGCTTTCTCATTGGCTGCTCAAGACTTTCAACTGACCAGTTAGAATACAAGCTGGAAAGCCGCCGAAGGCAGGAAGTGTCGGTAACCACAGCAAATGTGCACTCTTTGTAACTTGTTGAAAAGTGCAATGTTGGGGCTTTACCATTTTGCAGCTATTTATAATGATTCGTGTTAAATCAACATTGTTAAGTACATGTGTCAGCCACTGCGAGTTAAGATATAATGTGTCCGTGGCTCTTTTGCTGAGATTTCTGTGTTCAGTATTATTTTGTACGCTTAAGCCTCATTGGTGAAAAATAATTTGTGTCTTTGTCACACTTTGGTTATGAATGTCGTTATTTTTATCGTTATACCAAAGTTACATAAATGCTTCTTCATCTCCCTGTGTGGTGGTTATAATTTGTAAGTTATGAATGCAGTTCTGACTCCTGGAGCAGGAGTTTACTTGTATTGATTGTTGATTTATTTATTGTGTCTTGTTCGGTTTTTGTTAATCGAATTGAATTGAAGTAGTGCTTCATATTGTCAGATTATTAGGAATTTTCATTTCCATATCTGCTCATTGTAGCAGTAGTCTGTTATTGTAAGTTTGCATGACTAAATGACAAGAATTATTCTTTGTTTTCAGTTCACCTTGTTTTAAATACAATGAGATGAATCGTTCCCCATGTACTGTTTCTGCTGTACAGGAAGAAAGTATAAAGTGAATTGTCTCCAAATTGTGGGTTGAAGTTTAAGAGGAAAGTCGCAGTGCTCTAATAATCCAAAATAACAACGGTTAACCCTTGTCACTAAAACCTAGTTGCAATTATTGCTGAATATAAAGGAGGTGAATAACATGCTGCGTCAGTAATGTTAGTATGATTTTTCATGTTTTATTTAAGTTAGTTTCTCATAATGTATAGATGTACAGACACCTGGACGTAGCGACACCCTGTTTTTTTACATAACAATGTCATTTTGAATGTTTTTGACTCGATGTTATTTTTGCATGTATATTTCTTTGTACAGAAACCATACATGTTTGCACATTCTGTGCTGTACATAAGTAACTTTACCCTTGGTTATTTTTGAGATTAAACATCTGAAACATTTTATTCGTACAACTCGTCTCCAGCGTCTTTGTTTATAAAGTGTGTATGGGATTGGAAGAATGTTGTCGTACAGTAGGTCTATCTGATCTGAGGATTGGTACTTTTACATATTTCCTGTCTGTGTCTCTTGAGGCCTCACCCAGACCATGTGAAAACAGGCAGGTGTGAAAGCTGCATCTGCAGGTGCTGATCTTGGTAAGATCCCAAAACAGATAAATGACTAATTAAGCTCACCCTGATCTTATCGCAGTGGTGTCGGCATGTGCAGGCAACTGTAAGTGAATTACAGTCAATTGTTTTGCAGAACAAAAAGAATGTTAAGAATTCATATGTGCACGTTGATTTTATTACATTTAACCAATCAGGCAATGTAGCCTAATGCATTTGCACGGTCACATTTTTAGTGTAATTATTGTGCATGCTGGTTTCCGGTTTCCTATTAATTAAGAAATTGCAGTTATTTAAGAAATATCCAGTTAAAGTATTTGTGTGCGTGTTTTCTTGTGAGCATGTAGGCATACCTGTATTTAATTTTTTTTTTTTTTAAAGATGCCTTTACAGAAAGGTTCGTGACTCTTGCAGCGTCTGTGGTTGTTTGTCTTGATTGTGTGAATATAACTGCTTTGTTTTTTTATGAGGTGTGAGAAGTTTGGTGTCGAGTTTAAACTGTGGCTAATGTTGTTCTGCAGTCACCCACACATACAGTCTGTTCCTCTTGAGAAACCCAGTGTGCCTCAGTCTGTTTCCAACTCTCAAAAAGAATTTGACGTTAAAATAATTCCATTTAGTGGCCCAGCCCAGACTTTGAGGTGTAAGATAACCAACCGAATAAAACTAAATGATCTCTATGAACCTTTCATACTGAAAATAAAAATTCAAACTTCCATAAGTACGAATCACAATTTCCCCTCTCAAGTTGCGTTCTAAGAAATTGTGAAAACAGTTTCCATGACTCATTTTTGTATTTTGCTCATTTTTGGTTTGAAATAAGTTGCCTGTTGACGCGGTCGTAATAATGGAGTATTAGACATCTGTGACTTTGGGCTTCGTAAAGCTTGTGGCTATACCACCAGGAGGCACACTTTAATTAGATCAAGAAGTCTAGTCATTCAAGTGGTCTAATAATTCTGCAATATGGTGTCAGTGCATGAGAAACTTATGCTATATGTTATATTTGTGGTTTGTAACTGTGGTCATGATTTGATCAGATATCTTCCTGGAACACTGATAGGTTATATTACCTAAGATAATATGCAAAGTTCTCAGTTCTTCTCTGTTACTGTAGTCTTTGATGCAGCATGGAAACAAAACGGTCCTAGGGTTAGTTCATCTTGATGCATAGAATATTTCAAATTGTTTAAAAGGTAAGAGTGTTTCCTGTTGTCTTAATGAATTCTATTTCTGTGCAAAATATTGGAATGTAGTTATAAAACAACTTTTTCTTTGTAAGTTTTTATTTAACAAAAATGAACAAAAGTATATGTTAAGCCTTGTTATTAGCCAACAGGCATGCTATTACATAGTCACAGCATGCATATTAAATGCAATTAAATGTTTTCGCAATATTTGAACTTTGTGAAGTTTTAAGCCAACATGTTAATGAGTGAAAATATTTCAGACTGGATGGAGTTATTTAAATAAAATGTAAAATCGCTCAAGCAAACTTCCTTATTCGTCTTGTACAGAAATAATCAAAAGTCTCATTCCTCAAGAGACAGGATTTGCAAAAGTGTGTGCATACAAAATAATTGCATATCATTAATTCTTGCCCGTTGTTATTAGCACACTTAAAATAGGCTATCTGGCGTAGCCTACTAATGTCATATTTTATATGATATTATTTTTAGCATTTTGTTCATAATTGAATATTATGATTTCTATGATTTAACTTGGCCTATTATTCACTTAAAATGACAAACATTTAACATAATAAGCAGAACGATATATTTATAACTAATGAATTAGTGCCAAATTATACAGCAAACAAATAATGTGATATGAATTAACTGTGTTATGCAGTCTGCTTGTAATTAAATGTGTATGTAAAAATGACAATACAGCCTATTGACTTAAATATTTTTGGTTTCCAATAGATTGAGAATAAAAATGCATCCTTTGAGTAACAGTGAAAAGATGTGATGTACTTAATATGGATGTATTCGATGTGCCATGTAGATATGCTAACATACATTGTATGGAAATTGACAAAAAAAGGAAGACTTCTGACTTTCATCTGTTTCCAATCTGCTATTGCACAGAAGACCTAAAGGAGGCGACACCTGCATAAACAGTTGCCTGTGCTGATGCTTTTCATTTGAAAGTACTAACAATACTTCAACTGCAAAGAAAAATAAAATGAAAAAAAAAATCTAGGCTATTTATAGTTACAGCTTTGACTTGTTCTTCATATCAATGAGCAGCACCCATAATGGACCTTTATTTTTGTTGCATGACAATATCTATTAAGAAATGTGTGTTAACAGATGTACACATAGTGAGTCGAGTTACAGTTTAATGTTTCTAAATGTGTGGTACCATGCTTCTCTACTGTTTGCAACCAGATCCTGAACTATGTTTGTTCAAAGATTTTTTTTTTTTTCTTCTTCGGTGTAATGAATGTTTAATAAAGTAAACTCTAATAAAACGATCCATCTATTCATTTTCCAAACCACTTGTCCAGAGTCAGGGAAAAATCCATCCGATGGACTCTACTATCTCATGAGGCAACAGAAAGTGCCATTAAAAGTCACATGACAGAAAGTCACATGACGATGCAAACATTGCAGATGTAACTTTTGTTTTGTCTAAAATATACTTTCTTAACAGACACAAAGTTCTTTATCAAATACAAGTTCTGTACTCTTACAGTTCACAATTTCCAAATGCAACTTATGTAGTGACTGTGTATTTGTGCCTAAAACATGGTTCTCTCCATTGATTACTTGGAATTCGTTTAGCTGCCAAAGCAAAAATAGAGGAAGTAGCTGGAAATACATCTGTGTCTGTCACATAACGTGTGTATTTCTTTTTTTCCTTTTTTTTTTTAGTTCTTGGCCTTTGTTTAGCCCTGGTTTCCTTATGGCGCTTTTCCACTGCGTGGTGCGACTCGGCTCGGCTCGGCACGGCTCAGTACGGCACGACACGGTTCGGCTCGGCACGGTTTGCGTTTCCACTGCAGTTCAGTACCGCTTTAGAGTGGGC